TATTTGGAACTAAAAATGTGACAAGAGTGCCGACAACTTTTCAAAGGACCTTCTGCTATTTTATTATTGTGCCACATTTGCTAATTGTCCCCTAGTATTTTTATTTCAGTGACATGCTACAAATAGGTGCTGGGTGTGATGACAGTTCACAAAGTATTTGCCAAATTCACAGAAGGAGCACCCATGCTTTTCAGCTACCTGGATTTGAGAAGTTTTAACTATATGGCTTTTTGAGAAGTTCAACAAAGTCAACATTGCACCTGGCTCATTTTTTTTCTTTTGTTTTAAATCACACTTGCTGGCTTGCAAGCTCTTTGGAAAATACTTCCTTTTCATTGAGAGGGGAAGAAAAAAAAAAAAAAAAGGAACTTTACTTTTACCACAGTAGGGGCTACTTTCAGACTAGTGAGGTGAGCTAGAGCAGAGGCTGCGCGAGCTGGACATGTTGCACTGGACTGTCCCCCATCTACACACATTATTATAGCACTAGAGACAGACTGACTCCTTGAAAGCCAACGGTTTTCCACCTGCAGCTCAATTTGACAGGGCTGCAAGCCCAGGAAATAGCCCATTTACTAACTTTGGCTTCTCTTCACCTAGTGTTCAGCTCAGACAGCCAAGTCAGTGGATCCCTAATAGCAGCATTTATCCTTCTGGCAAGTGAGGAGACATGGAGAAGGCAAGGAGGAAAAGACAGCACCCCAGAAGAGGAGCAGTGAAAGCCACACAGACAAACAAAAGGACATAAAGCGCATTTTGCAGAAGGCAGAAACTCCCACATCCATTAGGACTTGGTGTCGAATTCCTGGCAGACAGAAATGACTTCACTGAAAAAAAAGTTTGTTTTAATAAAGGATAGGGAGAAAAAAAAATGAAAGGTGAAAAGGAAGAGAGACATCAAAAGAACAGGAGCTATGCAAAAACAGGAGGGAAGGGCAGAGGCTGTTTGTCTTTCCTGTCTACGGAAACTTGAAGGCACATGCCAAAGGAATAGCAATAGTGAAGGGCAGCTGGGGACATTTGCTCCTTGCAGATCTCCAGGAGAAACACCTGCCTTTCCCCAGAAGCCCATAGATGGCCCAACAAGGAGACAGGACAGCCACTGGAATACTCACAACTGGCTACCACTGTCTGCAAGATGCTGCACTTGCCAAGCACGTTTTGATGGAAGTCATCTCATCCCAAATTCGTGACATAAACAGTTTGTGGATTTCTCTTGAATCCAGGTGAAATAAATACATAAAAAATAACAACACCCCCCCCCCCCCGTCATCAAAAAAACCCCCCCCCCCCCCCATAGTCATCCGAACATGATGCATGTCTCCTATTTTCTACATATCAAAGAACAAATAATAAAACATATTTACCAGCTTTAACTTGCAACCAACTTTCACTTCATATCCATTTGAAGACAAGGGGGGAGGTACCTCCAAAGCCTCACCTGAGCAGATCGACACTCACAAATGCCACTCTTGCTCAGAGCCCCAAACACTTCCCATGGGAACATTGTTGTACTCCAGCAACAGGGGAAGATCAAGCCTGCAGTTATAGGAACATGCAAAGGACAGAGGAAACTGCCATTCCAGTGCCAGCAGTTTCTAGTTAACCCCATGTTCCAAAACGTATTGCTGTTCCAAGTCAAAAATATAAATAATGGCAGCAAAGGTAAAAGGGTTTATAAAAATACGGTTTTCCACTGTTAATCAGTGGCCTATTAGTTCATTTTTGGAAATCATGAGAAATAACGTCCTGCCCTCCACAGTGAGACAAAGAGTTAGAAATGTGGGGAAAATATTTTGCATCTGCTGACCAAGCAAAAGAAAACTTTTTTTCAAGCTGCCCTTCTGACTCCAGTGTATCAACACTTAGTCCCCCCTGCTCCATGATTATATCTGACACCACCACCCTGGCTTATATCATGAATTGAAAAGTGCTAGTCAAACTCCAAGACAAACTTGTCAATAGTGAGGCCAGACATTCGCATTCTTTCTCTACCTGCTTGTGTCAGCTGTTTGTCTGGGAGCAGTCCCTTGAAAAGCTTTTACTGAGGGGGAAAAGGAAAGGGGGATGCAGAGGGCATTTCTAACAGAAAAAAATCAGGGAGGGGAACCCCACAAAGACTGCAAAGAGAAAATAGAAAAAAACAACCCTGTCCCCATCAGGTCCTCCCAACAACCTTCTTTATCAGAGGGTCATTGTCAATCAATTAGCCAAGGCAGCAGGGGTCTGTAGGAAGGGGGGTCGCTGGAGAGACAATGGTCTGCCCTGTTGTATTACTATTTAATCACTTTTCCTAAATAAATAAAGCAGCCCCGAGGTGCTGTCATGTCAAGGGAATTTATAACAAAAAAACCCTTCATTTTTCATTGGTCATTACTTTTCCTTCCCTCCCACCCCTGCAGGACTAGAGAGGGTTATTACTGTAGCCTTAAGTTCCATCTTTGTGTTGCTTGCCTTTGATTCCCACTCGGACCTTGCCACTTTCTGGCACTAATTTGTCAGGCTGAACAAAGGAGGGATTTGTACCTCCTGTAAGGTCTCAATTAGGAAAGGCTTCTGCTGTACTATGTGCCATTGGGACAGGACACAAAGACGGTAATTACAGGAATTTGCACTAAATGGCTGAAGAATTCACAGCAAAACTTTTATTCCTCCCCCCTCCTTATCCTTCTCCAAGCTCACCCCTCCCAGCAGCCCTGGGGAAAACCTGCTCTCAATGCCTCCAAGCTCTAATTACCAACAGCAGTCCCCTTAGGTTAAACAGCAGCCCATGCTGGGGAACAGCACAAACTGCCTGCAGGGAGCAAGGCACAAGGAGAATGCCTCAGCTTGGTGGTGTGCCTCCGAAGTCTCCTCAGTACAAACTTTTCTCAGCCAGACAAGTTTCCCCAGTTTCTCCTAGTTATACTTACGGTTATTCATTTCTTTGTGTCGTGGTAACAGCTACAAGTTCCATCCGACTCTTAAAGACCAACTCTAAGGGTCTCAGACAGACAGTAAAGGGTCTGCTCCTACAGTAAGTGCCATACATCCCCATCCTCAGGTACAGGGAATCCCACTGGCCGGCTTCTCACAGACTCTCCACAACTCACATTTCTCTGCACAAGAGCGTTTATTCAGTTTTGCAGACTAAAAGGAAACCACAGGAGCAAAAATGCCTTACGTATATCAGAAAAATATTCCATGCAACCCTGACAGGGTTAGACCACCTTATTTCTCTGGGCAACACATGAGTGAATGCAGATGAATCATCCCATGTTTGGGAGAGGAAGTCGACTCTCGCCTACAGAAAAGTCTGCTCCCATACTATCTAATGCAAGACTAAAACCTATTTCACGTTGGAGACATGCATTTTGTTGCCTACCCCAGGGCCTGATCCTGTTTTTGAGGAGATCATTGAGAAAGCTCACTTGAAACTCTCCTGGATCTCCGTCAGAGGATGAAGCAAAATTATAAAATTTTCCTCTACTGAGCTTCCAATTAAAAGAAATGAGGAGAAAGGAACAAAGTTTTCACGTCGTCTGGGGCATTATCTTAAAATTAGTCTGTTAATTCTGCTGTCTTCTTGCGTTTCACAAGGCTGCCTGCTGGGTAACACACTGGGCTGGATCCATCTTGGGGATACTTGCTTGACCCATTCCCAGAGTCTCTGCTTTCACTCTCACAACTACCTTTGAAGGTAAGACACGACCGTTGTCCGACAACATTCAGGTAATCAGTCACCACAAGACCCAGGCACCTTCAGTTTCAGCAGTAGTTTGGCATATAACTACTCACAGGAAGAATCGATATGACATCACACAGAGTTTGTGGCCAAGGGCAGAACTGACTTCAAGGCAGAAGGCCCAATATTGTGGCCAAATCATTAAGTGCAGTGAAGCCAACCTTCACAATGCTCCGGCTACCAGGTGGGTGCCACATGCTGTGGAGAGGTGAGCAGGAACATCACCTGTGGGTCACTACCAGAGAGGGACGAACCCTGCTGCACCCACAGCCAGTTCTGAGGGCAACCCAGTACTTCTGGGGCTCAGGTCTCCCCTTGAAGGGATTCAGGACAGCCAGCAGGTCCTGGGCCCACACAGACCCCCCTCCCAGAGCCATGTGTGGTTCCAGAGCAACAGACAGATCCCTCACCCCAGAGCAGAGTGTGGAGGATCCTCACAGCTCCTTTAACAAAAGAGGAAAACCATCCAGAAAAGTTCTTTCTGCTACAGCTGGCAATTTCTAAGTTAACATAACTAAAGCCAGCCATAGAGTACAATTTTGGCGCAAAGTCCCCAAATTTGCTCCACAAAGGTGCCCTTGCTGAAGTAAAAGGACAGAGAACCACATTAACACAGGTCCTCTCTATTTTCACTTCATTTCCAAACTAGACAGAACCATGCTTGCCTCAGACTAGAGACAGCAGTCAAATGAACAGAGATTTACAATCAGATGCAGAGGTTTAAGGTCATGTTTTCAACCCCACCTCAAGGGAAGAACTGAGCAGATAAGCTCATGACTGAATGTCAGTACTAGAACAGACGTCATCAAAAGGCGGTGTTTCAGGGAAGTATACATCCTTTGAGGAGTCTCCCCAGAAGACCCAGAGCTGAAACTGAGCTCCAAAAATAACTTGGAGGAGACATAGCAATAAAAGACAACAAAAGCGCTAGAAGTCGGAAAGTTGCATCATATCCAGAATTCAAATCCCTTTCAGTCTGGACCACTTTTCCAGCGTCCTGAAGCAAGAAAACAGCTCAGCCACCCTTGCGTGTTACATGTACAGGATTTAATGCTTCAGCACTGCCCACGAAATGCAGGTGAACTACTAAATATCCCATAGGCTTTCTCCACATTTTACAGAGAGCAAAGAAAGGCTAAAAAACCAAAGCTTCTATGGCCACAGTGAGAGGCAGGGAGTGGCTGTGTGCTGCTAAAATACATACATGTTCTTCCAAGTGATTTTTCTTTTCCTACAGGAGGAGAAAGGGTGCAGATGCTGCAGCCTGGTTGCTTACCTGCACACTTGAAGCTCTGAACTGTGAGCCCTCTCTCTAGAGAAAGTGTGGTCAGGATGCTCAGGAAGCTGGTAGTCACAGATTGGCGCTTGCTCTTTCTAAGATCATTTCCAAATGGCCGATCTCCAGGTTTGTTCCTAAGTGTGACCTGTGGGTTCTGAGTCAAACTTCTAGTAGCATTGGCTGCTGCTCTCAGTGCCTCCATCCACTCCTGGGCCCTCTGACAGGTCTCTGCACGCAGGCGGAGGACATCTTGAGGAAAAATGACCTGAAAGCAAGAGTCACAGCCATCCTGAGTATCTGTCTGGACTGACAGGCACGCATCAACATTGTAGCTCAGCAGAGGATCTTCATCAAGCATGCCCGGTCGGAATGCCATGAGATAAGACCTGTTCAAGACAAAAGTAAATGCCTTCCAGTTATTCTGGACAGTTAACCTATAAAGAGTCCCTGATTTGAGAATATTTTGGTACTCTTTAGTGTTTTCAGTCAAATTCATGGATAGGAAGAGCTCCATGGGCTTCTCTAACAATCCGTTGGTTTGAGAAAGGTCACTGTTATTTTCGGGCTTTGGTACATTCTCCATTTTCTCCTGCTGTCTTGTAAAAGCAGGCACAGAAGCACGTACCGCTTCCCAGAGCTTCTGTCCCCAATCTAAAGCCTCCCATGAGGACTCCGCCTTCAGCTGTAGCTGCGAGTTGTCTGACAGGACAGTGTCCACCACCTTGGTTTCAATGCAGCCAGTAACAGTGACCCTTTGAAAATGCATGAGTGGATACATGGTGGGAAGAGTCTGGTTGCCACTGCTGTCCAAGCAATACAGGTACAGTTTGTATGGGGAGAGCTCAGCATAACAGGTTTGCCAGTAGCTGTCATTGTCTCTGCTAATTTCTAAGTATCCCTTCTTCAGAATGTTTGGGAACATTGGCTTGTGTTCTGGAGGAGAGAAAATGAGAACGTTACCATTAATTCTTTTAAAATATCTGTTTCAAATTGTTACTTAATTCTGGCTTACACATCTCTCCTACCCATACGTGATACATCTGGAGGACAGCACCACAGAAATAGCCTTCCCCCAAGAGGTTATATTTATCAAACACAAGCACTGACTCTACATTTGAGCCGAGCCAACAAGAACACAGCACTTTTTTACTCAGAGGTACCAAAACACAAAAAGGGGACAGGGAACCAGAGGAACAGAGATACAAAACAATTTTCCTGAAATTATCCAGGAGAATAGTCACAGAGCAACAAAACACTGCAAGTCTCCCAGAACCTAGTCCAGAAGAGTACAATATTATCAAGTAATCTGTGGCCAACTAAAACATATCAACAGTGAGAAACAAATACAAATTAAAACAACACATTCCCCTCCTGCCCCTCTTTCCCAGGCTCAACTTCATGCTTTCACACACAACCCCTCACACCTCCCCCCTGTCCCGAGCAGCACAGGGGGAAGTGAATGGGGGGTCGGTTCCTCTCTGCTGCTCCTCCCTCCTCTGACTTTTCCCCTGCTCCAGCATGGGTCCCCTCCAGGGGCTGAAGTCCTTCCGGATAAACCTACTCTTGCATAAGCTCTCCATGCCCACAGCTCCTTCAGGAAATCTCCACCTTCTCCAGCATGGAGTCCCGCGTGGGGCTGCAGGGAGATACCTGCTCCACCACGGGCTCCCCAGTGGAACCCCTGCCCCACGCCTGCAGCACCTTCTCCTCTCATCCTGGGCTGTTCCTCACACTTTCCTCCTCACGCCGCTGTGCAGTGCTCTGCCCCCTCGGAAACGCACTCTGACAGAGAGGCCCACTTGCGGCTGAGGGGCGCAGCTGTGCCCTGTGCTGAAACCGGCCAGAACCAGCTGGAACTGGCTGGAACAGCCCCACTGCCAGCACCTGGGCACTGCACCCGGCACCTGGACTTACCCAGGACACAGGAATGGAGAACCGTGCCTAAAAGCAGCAGTTTCTTACCGAATTTGAGCACGACCCGGGACCAGAGCATTTTGCACAGCTCTGTTTACTACAGAAGCTTTGCTGATTTATGAGAATCAGGCTCAGGACCAGCAGATGTGACCAAAAATAAAAAGAGGCTGCGCAGACCCAAACACATACATCTAAGCACCTCAGCACTTTGGGTGCTTCCCAGCAGACCTCTTCATAAACCTTGGCCCATGTCAAAGTCAAAGGGAATTTTCTTCATCCCCAGAAAACCGGCCATACACACATCACTCCGGGCACCAAAGTGACACCAATTTAAAATGAATTATACAAAGCATTTCTGACTTTTAAAAAAGGTTTCTGTGCAAAATTTGTTCCAATCTGATTTGCACCACTTCAGCCACCATTAATACTTTGTAAAAAAACCACCGTATTTTCACCTTGGGCCAGACACGAGGCTCTATGCAATTTTTGCTAGCCCCTGTATGAATTCAGTGACATTCACTGTTATGCTCCAACGCTGACTTTAACACTTGGCACCCCAAAACAACCCAGTCCCGAGGAACAAAAATTCTTGCTCCCATCTGACTTCTACTTCACCTTTCCAGGAAGGGTACTTGTGATGGGTCTTGACCTACAGAGAGTGGCAGAATTAACAGACACAAGTGAAGAGGTTTCCTTCTCCAGTTGTTCATCTCCCTTGGAGACTGCTATTCCTAAGGCTGGAGCAAGGAAACCACCTGGGAACACCTCCTCACCCCCTTCCTGGCACCATTAAGTCAAAATAAAATCAGCATCAATGGACCTTAACACGCAGCGCGTTACAAAGTGCAGCCATACAGGAGCTGTTTCACTCATGGTTTCTGCCCTCAGGCTGACAACCTTTGAAAGAGGGATAGCGTAGACAGTTGGAGGTGCAAAATACTTTCAGCATCTCAGCTTCACCAGTTACCACTCACATTAATGGGCCACGGTCTAACCAGTTTTAGACATGATCACCTCTTGAGTCTTCAACACAGAGCTAAGAGAACAGAAGCATCTGGGCTTGACAAACCTTGGAAACAAAGAGCCAAAGATGAGCCTGTACAGAAGTTACTGCATCCCCACATGTATTGGCTTCCCAGCTAATATGGCCAAGGAGGTGTTCAAGGCCAGGTTGGACGGGGCCCTGGGCAACCTGATCTAGTAAATGTGTATGTTTGGTGGCCCTGCCAGGCAGGGGGGTTGGAACTACATGATCCCTGAGGTCCCTTCCAACCCGGGTCATTCTATGATTCTAAGACTGCTGGCCATGCTGCTTTCACCACCACCGGCAAATGGGTAGGTCTATCTATCCTCCCAGGGGCACAAGGAGAGTCAGGGACTACAGGTATTTGAGGGACTCAGTTATGTCCAAAGGGCTTCTGATACCACCTGGTTAGAAAGCAGAACTTGGCCCATAACCTACAGTCTAAAGAGATGCTCCTGTTCTTGTCCGAAAGCATTGCTGTAGTTGGTTGTGAGAGTTTTCATGTATGGGCACAAAGAGGGTTCAGGACAGTAACGGCATAAGTGCTTTGGCTAGTCCTTCAGTGAAGACCAACTTTAAGGATTTATAAGGATTAAGAAGACAACTTTCAGTTAAACTCAATGAACATACATGAGAATTAATTGCCTGATATACTTAATGTGAGTATGCAAACCTCATGGAGGCTAAAAGAAATGGAGGAAGGATGCTACCTCCCATCCACCCTAACAAAAAGGACACACTTCTGCTTCACCTTGCCAGCTCAGCCCCAGCTTCCCCACATCACCCACTTACTCAGAACAGAGCCTGCCTTTAACACCACGTTCAAAGCACTCTACACTTTACCTACAAAGATTTCCTGCATATATGACTAAAATTATAACAACAACTAAAAAATTGCTACTTTTGCACTAGGTCTGAAAAGGTGGAAAGGAAATCAATATAACTATATGTTGCCAACAAATAAGCTACTCAAGAGAATTTCAGCTAAATATGGAAATTGAAAGCCTAATCTATAACTCAAAATGGTAGAGAAAAAGCACTTTCATAGCCCAAATGGAAAGATACGCACATGTGTGCGCACGCACACACACACTAAAAGAGAACCCATTTTTTTCACTGTACATCTCTGGCCCTGACATTCATTAGTATTTCTGCGCTAACTCAAAAGCCATTAATTTCTCTGAAACCCACACTAATCCCTTTGTAGTGCAGATAATGGGCAGCCATTCTAGAGACATCTTCCCTTTCTATTAATCCAATCAGTGAGGCAGTGCTTCTGCAGCTCCAACTGCAATCTCTCTCCTTTCCATCAAGTACAGATGACAGTTCAAGCTCCTCCATAATAAGACAACCCATAACCTTCCCCCACCCACCCCTCCTTCATCTGCACACAGGTTTGCTTGTCTTTTGTTGCGTTAGAAAAAGGCTATCTCTCCCTGCCTTTCACAGAGGCACCTCCCTCTTCCTCCTTCACCCCACTCCTTCCCTTCAAGATTTCATGAACCAGCTCCACTGACTCGCTCTAACTGGGACAGAACCAGCAGTCAACTTGATTAAAATTCAAATGCCCCGTATTGTTTAGGTCAGGGCAACAGACGCTGGCAGAAACAGGTAGAGCCCATATGCTATACATCCACGCACACCTTACAACCCTTTGCTCCTTTATCTCCTCAGCGTGCAGTGTGCCCAATAATACTTTTCCACTCAGAGAGCAAATGCTACCATCTCTCCATCCACCTTCTCAACAGAAACTGCATCTCTTTTCCTCCCTACAGAGACAGGGAGAATAAATTGAGGAAGAGTAAAAAGAAAAAAAAAAAGGGAACTAATCACAGTAAATGGCCCCTGCCTGAGCCATTTGGAGTTATAATCTCTAAGGAGGAGGGGGAAGGAGGCAGAGGGAAACAAAAAGAGACTCAGAAGCTCAGGAGAGGGCAATATCTTCCTCAGAGTCTCTCCTATCCTTTGGGAACTGCCCACCTGTCCTGGCGAGGAACCCTGCACTGAGCACACACCTACCCCTCTCCACGCTTAGGGGCAGCTCGTGCAAAATGGAAGCCCAAATGTCGTCTCAGCATGTATAGAAGACACATGCTCCTGAACAACTGACTGGAACTGTGTCCCTGTTGGTATGGCAGGAAAACTTGCTCTGTTTTCCACCACTGAAGCATTTCTGATGACAGTAATACCAAGTAACTTAGAAAAGAGCAGAAGTAGAGATGCCTAGTTTCTGAGGGGTTTGTCTCTGGAAGTGGCACTCCTCTCTGGGTCCTCCAATGCTTTGTAAGAGATGAGCATAAATTTCAGAGTTTTTGTCAATAGTCCTCTGCTCTGATTTCCAGAGAACTTAACAGACACCTTTGGGACCTAAATGCTCTCAAATTGGGTTGAACTAGTCACCTGCTTGGTGGGGTTTGCCAGATCAGGGACAAACTGTGCCTCAGCCAACATGACTCAGATCCACAATGCCCACTTCCCTCCTACTTAAAAATATAGTCTTTTCCCATCTGGATCTGCAGGTATATGTCTTGCAGTCAAGTATATCTGATTCCACTTGGTCCTGAAACAATGGCATTGATATTTAGCCACAAATTTCTAGCAGATGTCTGCCCTGGAGCCAAATCTGGCTTCTTCTCCCAATGCCACTTCTTTCAAGGGACCACTACAGCACTGGGACTTGCACCTAGGTAGCAGTTTGCATTAATTAAAAGAAACATCCCTCCCCACCAGAAAGGCATTCACTCTTTTTCATCTTCCTTAGGCTTTGGGAAAGCAAAACCTGCTTTGAAAATGTTGAACTTGCAAACTCTTAATTTTACATTTATGCATTGCTAGAAGGGTTGGCTTAGCTGTTCAACAAAAAAACTCACAGAAGAACTGCCTAAACAGATGGATAAAGAACCTGAACAGATTATTCTTTAAGTCTTTCCTTTCAAGGTGTAACATTGTATGAAAAACATACGAGGAACTGCTGAAGTCTACAGGATCCCAGCTG